ATTAAAGGGACAAAATCTCCTCCCCATGAATCCAAGATTCTCACAGTGGAGTCAGAAAATATGCAAACAAAAACTATATAATAGGATATTGGTTAGTGCCAAGAGCCCTGAGGATGTTATAGAGTAATGTTGTGGGAATGAGAGTGGTATCTGAAACTGAGCAGTGAGGTAGGGCCCTCTGATGAGGTAAGATCAGCTAAAACAAAAGTAAAAGGAAGGAGCGAGTCACACATATGTCTCGGTTAAGAATGTTCCATGATGAAAGACAGTTACAGCATGTGAAAAAGCCCTGGAGGAAAAATGTACTTAGTGTTTTGAGAAAAAAGCAAGAGGGGCTGGAATGGAGTGAGCAAAGTGGGGAATAGCCAGAGAATATGGGTGCATTTGGAGCAACAGCCAGTTGCCAGACCAGGCAGGGCCTGTTGAGAAGCTGGCATTTTATTGTGTGATGGGATGACTTTGAAAGGTTTTGAGTAGGGAGGGGGCATGAACAGACCTGTATTTTTAAAGGAATCCCATTCTCTAACTGCTTCTGGTAATTTGGGACATGTACCAACACCCTGCAAAGTTTCTCCATGGCATATACAGTAGTTGCTCAGTGGAAACTCACAGGACAATGTCCCTTGGTGCCACTATTCACTACTTTTGACTGTCACAGAGACCCTAAATACATTGAATTCTGAGTCACTTTTGGATCAACCCACACATTTCCAGAGCCTACCATGTGTCAGGGACAGGCCTTATTTAATCCTCATAATCTTTAGAAGTCGACATTGTGATCTCTGTTTGCAGATGAGAACACTGAGATTCACAGAAGCTGAAGGACTTACCCAAGTCTGCACAGCTAGCGAGTGACACAGATATTATTGAACTCACGTCCTCATTATATAGCTTATACTTCTTTTTTAGATGGAGTCACTCTCTGTTGCCCAGGCTGAAGTACAATGGTGTGATCTCAGCTCACTGCAGCCTCCGCCCCCTGGGTTCAAACGACTCTCCTGCCTCAGTCTCCTGAGTAACTGGGATTACAGGTGCCCACCACAACACCCAGCTGATTTTTGAATTTTTACTAGAGACGAGGTTTCACTGTGTCGGCCAGGCTGGTCTTGAACTCCTGACCGCAAATGATCCACCTGCCTCGGCCTCCCAAAGTGCTGGGATTACAAGGGTCAGCCATCACGCCTGCCCATATCTTATACTTTTTATACAAAACTTGCCACATGTATTTGCTCTCCTCTTTTATAGTCTGAGATGGAGTAGAAGGTAATAAGAGAAATGACCATTCATTGTGCACAGTTTTAAGAAACTTAGACACAGCATTTGAATTGGCCCCCAAACAACTTTATGAGTAGGTATTATGGTCCCCATTTTATAGATGAAGACATTGTGATATAAAACTATGTATTCAATGTGTGGTATATTGACTGGCATCATCAGTACCACCTGGGAGCTTGTTAAAAATGAAGAATCTGGAGTCTCAACCTATAAAACGGAAATGATAACAGCTTCTTTATACATTAGTGCTTCCACTTTTCATTGTATCACTAAACAAGAAACTTACGTTCTCTTTACAAATGCAGATTACAATTCAGGTCTACTAACATTTTATTACCCAAAGCAGGTCACCCAGCCAAGCCCAGCATCAATGCCTGGACACATTCTTTGCCCACAGTAAAAGAGAAAGTAGAGAATAGTTGCTAAATGCTAAAAACAAACTGTCACAGAGGTTATTAATGAATTGTAGCCATTTTCTTTAATCAGCTTTCTTAATGCATAATAAAGGTCTTTGCAACTATTTTGTGGGTATTCTACTAAATTTAACTGTTTATCAAAGGATCATTTTTTAAACATGTGCAATGCTATCTCCGGAAGAAATTCTGACAGGTACAATTTTCTGTATCTCCTATCCCCAGACAGGCCTTAGCATAAAATGGCACCTCAGACAGCTGCCTGGATGGACCACCCATTAATCCAGCTCTGTTCCTATTCTAAGGGAAGATTAAAGGCTCTTGGCCAATAGATTAATGATTGTGCATTAAATCAGTCGGACTCCTAGCCACCCTTTCTTTCTATGAGGTGTGTTAACTTTTAGAAAATGTATTGAACTAGAAACTTTTCCCAGTCAAGAAACTGAATATTACCAGAATAATGAAAACCCTCCCCTAAGTCTCTCTTTCTGTCACTGTGCCCCAAAAAAGGTGTCACTATCTTTACTCTGGTTAACACAGATTGGTTTTGCTTTTTTCTGTGCTTTAGATAAAAGGAGTCACGGACTATGTGCTCTTGTCTTACTTCTTTCACTTAACATGCTTCTGAAATTCATCTGCATTTTTGCATATAGTTGTGGATCATTACTTCTCATTCCATATAGCATTAATTTATCTGTATATTTTATATAAATATGGACAATTTGGAAACTTCTACTAGATTTTAGCCACTAGGACCAGTGCTTCTGTGAATATTCTACTATATCTTTTGTTGAACTTATGGACACATTTCCTCTGGGTATACACTTATAAGTAGAATTGCTGGGTGTAGGATTTGCATATGTTCAGCGTTAGTAGATTCTTCCAGCTTGTTTTAAGAGTCTATTTTTGAGTTTAATAAGAGGGTGATGTAGACTTAGTCATAGGTACATGTGGCTACATTTCACTTATAACTTTGTGATTTTCCACTTTAAACTTAACAAGTCTATTTATCTCTGGGACTAAGCTATTCTTCAGTTGCAAATTAGGCAGTTTTGAAAGTTTCTCTAACTTCTTCTTCTCCCTGGGGTTCTATCCAGTGTATTACTCACAGATTGGTAAGAGATGAAGGTCCTTGCCACCAACATTATCATGCATAGAGAAAGTTCCTAACACACAATCACCCAGTATTCCTCTAAGAATTGATAATGTGTCTGGAAAATTACTATTCTTTTAGGGACCCAATGATGCTATAGAGAGGGCCAAGCCTTGTTCAAGGCTTGTGCTAATGACATGAGTCTCTGCCAGGGGAATAGAAGTACTGCCTCCTTCCTGATATTTGCATACTCCTCTTTGTCAAGGGAGATAGTCTTAGGCATTAGGATATGGAGGAAAACAGAGCCTTTGGAGGAAGAAGCTAAAGAGAAAGACACCCTATTCCTATCTAAAACCCCTATTTCACCATTCCTTAAGGCTCCAAGATAAAGTACCTGCCAACTTTGCTGAGAGTCAAAGTTTTTTGTTTTGTTTTTTGTTTTTTTTTTTCTCAATGTCTCTCATCAGTTACAAATTATAGATTTATCCAAGACAATCTAGAATAGAGAGAGAACAAATACTAAGTGAGGGGTCACCCTTCAAAGGGCATTAGCTGTCAGATGAAGGTTACCAGTGGAAATAAAAGACAAGACACACAGAGGAAAACATCATCACAGCACCTTATATCAGGTTGAGTTTTTACGCCCTTTTCTTGCTGTCTGTTTTTGTTTCTATGTGAGTACAAAAGCCATTTAGAGAGCTTCTTCACAGAGCATCCACTATGATAGAGAAGATGTAGAAAATATTCAGGAAACAGGATGTAAATAAAATATAAATTATGAAGCAGAGTGATTCATAAGACTATAAGAAAGCGAGTGTTTTTGACCTTACAAATTATTTCAACAGAGAGGTAGCAAATTTGGCATTGAAATAGCCCACAGACATAGCTATATCTTGAAGTATATGTTTAAAAACATGTGTTTAAATAAACATTTAAGTGTGCCTTTTAATACAGCTATTTTATTATGTATGGCAAATGGATTCTCTAGGAGTAGTGGTCAGGACTCCAGAAGGAATTAGTTGCACACTCAAGTGGGGAAATTGAGGACAGTTAAAGGAACATGTTTACAAGGTGGTGGGCATGATGAAGAGAAACAAGGAATTGTGAAGCCTCTGGAGCTAGCAATAGTGAGCGGCTCTTTATCATCCCTAAGATGGAATGGGCTATGGGAGGAAGAAACAACTAGCACCTAGGAGCTGTGGCTGGAGGTAAAGAATCTCAGCCAACTTGCAGTAACCTGGCACGGGGGAGCCAAATTGCACTTTGCTCCCTCCCTCCAATCTCCTATTGGGTGGATCCACCTGAAAGCCAGGAGGCATGGGGCCCACTGATTCAGACAATGAAGATCGTCCTTGACCTCAGGTGAAAAACAGAGAGATCGGCAAAGAGGAGATCCATCCTATGAATAGTCACATTTCTCAAGAAATGAAACAAAGTTCTTCAGGTAGATCATGTTTTTTAAAAAGCATACCTATTTTACTGTTATTATTTAAAGTTCATTAAGCACTTCTGGCTCATTAAGCATTCATTAATTAGGATCTAATTCTGCATGCTCCTTTTCCCAGCTATAAAAATCAGCAGGTTTTTTTTTTTTTTTAAGCTGCTTTTATCTGACTAAAATAATGGGTTCTTTTTTCAACAAACGGGTAGAGGGTTATATAAAAACTCTGAAAAAACACTGACAATCAGCTTCAAAAGGTGAACACAAAATTTACTGAAGAATCTATAATTATATTAGGATTTTACAGAGAAGACATTATCTTTTAGCTCCATAACTATATTTAGAGGCTAAAATACCTGGTTATATCCTGTTCTGTCTCCACTATTGATTTAGGAATTTATGCAACTATTTATTCTCCTGCTCAATAGAAAAGATTGCTTACCATAGCAACCCCTGCATTAGCATTCAGCTTCTTGGTTACAGAGCACCTTCCTAAAGGAGGAGATATCTCAATGTGCAAGGTGAACCTAATTTCTTATTAAATATAATTTTAAGGGAGAAAGCTGTTGTATAAAAACTCATAACAAAGAGAGAGCAACCCAAACTGGAAACTAGCAATTGTTTAAGGCTCTTTTGCAATTATTTAATCTGTGTGTCTTTCCTGACTCTGGGCATTCTGCTGCTTTTGCACGTTTGTAAGCTAAGATGCGTGGGAAATAATAAAATATTATGCACAACCCACACCCCACACAGGAAGCTTGCTGTTCTCTGTGGGAAGTTTTAACTTAGGTCAGCTTCGCCTTAGAATTATTTTTCTTTCTTTCTTTGAAGAAGGCAGATTCCTGGTCCTGCCACTCAAATCTTCAAAGTGAAAATATTTGGTCTGATTTTCCAATGTGTTTCCTTGATGTCGATCAAGTGTCTGAAACATTAGTGATTGTTTTTACCTTGTACAGTGAAGTGAGGTAGCATTTTAATTAGGGAAGAAAAAGACCAACTTGTGCTCAAAAGCTCAAAGCTTTTGTGACGGAGCTCAGAGAGATTGAGGCCAGGAAGTCACGATTTGTGCATCAATGATCAGATCATCTGAGCCCTTTGTAGAGAAGTAAAATCTAGCTTCCACCTACCCTTCTAGGTTCTTTGGTTGGGCTACAAATTAAATTGACATAAGGCAGATTCACAGGAGAAATATAAACAATTACATATATAGGCACTGGAGTCCCCAAAAATATGAGACTCAAAGATTGGTCAGATGATTGAAGCTTATATAGTTTCCTGAGCTATAGAAAAAAATTACGGCTTAGGGCTTCTTGGGGGTGATGCCCACACAAGTTAAGAGTGGATGACAAGAAAAAATGTATGATGAGTAGAGGTGGTCTTGTTATGCAGATAAAATTTCTTGGGTAATAGAAGTTGTCTGGGAGACGAGGCGGCTCAGGGGAAATGAGACTGCAGTGGTGGTAGTAGGAAGATGTCAGGCAGGGATGAGCATCAGGAGCAAACTATTGCCAAGGACCTGGTGGTGACCAAGTATAAGATGGGGGGCGAGCAGGTGGCACAGTGCGACAAGGCCAACTGGGTACTTCGGACCTTGGTGGAAGCATCTAGCTCAGGTGTGTCAGTACTGAGCCTGTGTGAGAAAGGCCATGCCATGATCATGGAAGAAACAGGGAAAATCTTCAAGAAAGAAAAGGAAATGAAGAAAGGTATTGCTTTTCTCACCAGCATTTCAGTAAATAACTTTGTATGTCACTTCTTCCCTTTGAAGAGCAGCCAGGATTATATTCTCAAGGAAGGTGACTTGGTAAAAATTGATCTTGGGTTCCATGTGGACAGCTTAATCGCTAATGTAGCTCATACCTTTGTGGTTGATGTAGCTCAGGGGACCCAAGTACCAGGGAGGAAAGCAGATGTTATTAAGACAACTCACCTTTGTGCTGAAGCTGCCCTATGCTTGGCCAAACCTAGAAATCAGAACACACAAGTGACAGAAGCGTGGAACAAAGTTGCCCACTCATTTAACTGGATGCCGATAGAAGGTATGCTGTCACACCAGTTGAAGCAGCATTTCATCAATGGTGAAAAAAACATTATCCAGAATCCCACAGACCAGCGGAAGAAGGACCAAGAAAAAGCTGAATTTGAGGCACGTGAAGTATATGCTGTGGATGTTCTCGTCAGCTCAGGAGAGGGCAAGGTCAACGATGCAGGACAGAGAACCACTATTTACAAATGAGATCCCTCCAAACAGTACGGACTGAAAAGGAAAACTTCACGTGCCTTCTTCAGTGAGGTGGAAAGGCGTTTTGATGCCATGCCGTTTACTTTAAGAGCATTTGAAGATGAGAAGAAGGCTTGGATGGGTGTGGTGGAGTGCACCAAGCATGGACTGCTACAACCATTTAATGTTCTTTATGAGAAGGAGGGGGAATTTGTTGCCCAGTTTAAATTTGCAATTCTGCTCATGCCCAATGGCCCCATGCAGATAACCAGTGGTCCCTTTGAGCCTGACCTCTACAAGTCTGAGATGGAGGTCCAGGATGCAGAGCTAAAGGCCCTCCTTCAGAGTTCTGCAAGTCAAGAAACAGAAAAAGGAAAAAAAAAAAAAAAAAGGCTTCCAAGACTGCAGAGAATGCCACCAGTGGGGAAACATTAGAAGAAAATGAAGCTGGGGACTGAGGTGGGTCCCATTTCCCCAGCTTGCTACTTCTGCCTCATCCCCTTCCCACCACACCCCAGACTTTGTGAAGTACAGTTCTTCTTCTCCACCTAGGACCCCCAGCAGAGCAGGGGGTCGCCCTTTCTCCCCAACCCCAGTTCCCTAACCCACTCCTTTCCAACAACAACCAGCTCCAACTGACTCTGGTCTTGGGAGCCAACCACGGAAGACTACCTTAAATGAAAAAAAGAAATTAAATAATAAAATCAGAGTTAAAAAAAAAATTGTCTGGGAGTAGCCCTCAGATAATTGTTAATAGTCTGTCTGGGCATGAGTCAACCTCCAGTCTTCTCTCTTGTAATTTGAGTTCATCTTCTCTGGTTGATAAGATTACAGGGGAAGGGATTCATGACAACTGAGTCTCTTTTGAAGAATCTCTTCCTTAGGCAGATACAGAAGGTCAGAAAAGCCCTTCTTTTGCATTTACCATTCCCCAGATGAACTCGATGTGTTGCTGTTCCTCAAATGCCCATTGATATATTGAAATAATCAGCATACCAAAGCCATAGATTTTGGGGTGGTTAAACTTCCTCTCAGTTTTGGAGTTCCGCTGGTTAAAAAAAGCTAGTTCTGGCTGGGTTCGACTTCTCACACCTGTAATCTCAACACTTTGGGAGGCTGGGGCGGGTGGAACACTTGAGTCAGGAGTTCAAGACTAGACTGACCAACATGGTGAAACGCCATCTCTACTGAAATTACAAAAATTAGCTGGGTGTGGTGGTGGGGGCCTGTAATCCCAGCTACTCGGGAGGCTGAGGCAGGAGAATCACTTGAACCCAGGAGGCAGAGGTTGCAGTGAGCCAAGATCACGGTATTGCACTCCAGCCTGGGCAACAGAGAGAGATTGTGTCAAAAAAACAAAAAACAAAAAATAAAACAAAACAAAAAAAGCCAGCTCATAATACTGCTCATGGCTAAAGATATAAAGATAATACTGAAAGTGGCTAGGTGTGGTGACTCATGCCTATAATCCCAGCACTTTGGGAGGGTGAGGCGGGTGGATCACTTGATGTCAGGAGTTTGAGACCAGCCTGACCAACATGGTGAAATGCCATCTCTACTAAAAATACAAAAATTAGCTGGGCATGGTGGCAGGTGCCTGGAGGCTGAGGGAGTAGAATTGCTTGAACCTGGGAGGTGGATGTTGCAGTGAGCCAAGACAGTGCCACTGCTCTACAGCCTGGGTGATAAGAGCAAGACTCCATTAAAAAAAAAAAAGAAAATACTGAAAGTTGATCCTGAAATTGTTAGTGACTTTGATGCACTGTTTCAGCTCTAGAAGAGTTTTTACCCCACAGAGACAATGGCTGAACAGAAAAAAAAAATAAATGCCGGGACTCAGTTACCTCAGAGGACTTGGCAGATGACAGTAATTAAGAGAGGGAGACCAGATGTTTTATCCAGGGAATTGTATTGGAGAAAGAGGGGCTGAAAAATGGGATTGAAGTATGCATCCAAATAGAAGCTCTTTCTCCTTTATGCTTTATGTCCAGAGCCTGCTTAGACCCCATGAAGCAGGCTAGAGGCTTGAGTGAGAACATCATTTCTGACTGAAGCCAGAGCAATATGCTGGGTCTCCCACATATATTTTTATCCTGGATACTTTTCCCCAACGATATGCCCTGGATTTTTCTTTCAAATTAAATTGCCCTCTTTTAGCCTTGATCAAAAGTGAGAATCTGGGCCCTTGACAGATATATTGCTATTAATTTTTTTTTGGAGGTGTAGCCTAGCAAGGAGGGGCCTCATCTTCTGAGGAAACCTCAGCATTGATGAGTACTGACTGAGAGAGGATCATCAAGGTTCACTCAGATGAATGAGGTAGGATGGGAAATCCACTCACAAGTGGATTTAACCCAGGCCTTCTGCAGTTATCAGGGACATGTGGTATCAAACAATAGAATGAGCAATTTATGGGTGACTGAAATATTAGTATTGTCAATATTATTTTCAGTTGTTATCATTGTTACACAGTTCTTACTAGCTTCTTTGGACCAATGGTATTCAAACTTTAGTGTACACCATCATCGCTAAAGATTTAAGAGTTCCACTTCCTGTGATTTGGTCTTGAGCAAAATCTGGGAATTTGCATTTTAACAAGCTCTTGGGCAATGCCATTGTGCTGGTTGTGAGCCGCAGTTTGAGGAGCACTGAGGCAACTCATCTGCTGACCAGTGGTTGGACCCAGGGGTCTGTTTTTAAAAGTATCCAGGTTATAACCAATTCTCACTAAAGTTTGAGAAAAGCTGTTTTAAACCACTGGTTCTCAGACTTAACTAAACATTGGACCTACATGAGCAGTTGCTTAAAGAATGCCAATGCCTGGGTCTCACCCGGCTGATTCTAATGAAATTGGAGTGGAAAGCAGCCTGACGTGGGGATTATTTGAAGCTCTCAAGATCACTGTAATGGGCAGCCAAGGTTGAAAACCATTTGTAGACATTGCCTTCATTCCTGGATTGCAAGACTACACGATCTGCAATTTGTACTTTCCAGTATGTCGCTATGGTAGAAAAAGAGATGGGTAAAATTCTAGCATCTGAAAGGAAATCATCTTTGCCAGGATTGCATGAATTTGATCCCAGCTTATCTTACATATTGTACAGACTGTGAGTAATGAAGGGCTCAATTTGAAAGAGCTGGGAGTGAGTCAGTCGGAAGAGGTAGAAATTTGGGCAAAAGAGCAAGTTCTATAAATCTGTAGAAGTGAAATCCATTTAGTTACCTCCAAAGGGCCAAATGTTCTGCTTAAAATGCTCCAATAGAGCATTGAATTTCACAGCTGTCTGTAGCTTTGAGGCCAAATTCTCATTCCCTAAAGTTAGAAAACAGAAGTAGGAGCAGTACCAAAAAGCCGCACATACTACTGAGATATTAATTAAACCCCAAAGACTTCAAGGACCCCTGTCTGGTCTTCCTAAATGCACTATTCTTTGCCAATGGATGCAAACAGATTTCTCTTGACCTTCCCCATACTTGACCCAGATCTCTAAGTCTAAATATTATTACCATAAAAAGATGTCAACATTTTAAATTCCAGATAATAGATTCCTCGAAAATGAACCCACATATTTCTGTTATTTCCCTGAGATCTTGAAATTTTTTCTATTTTTATTAAAGTCTCTTATAGGAATGCATTAAACAATAACAAAACATCCCAACAAAACAAAACAAAAACTAAGCTAGATTCCTGTTTGGAAATCCAGCAAACGTTTTAGGCAGGAAATGTAGGTATTTGCCAAGTCAGAGCACTGGCTGGAGAGTCAGAAACACAGGATTCTTGTCCTGGTTTTGTACCTTACTATGTGACCTTGAGAAAGTTGTTCGACTCATCTGAGCCTCATTTTCATATGTGTCAAATGGCAATAGTGTCTCAGGATCCCTTTTGACTTTAACTTAAAAGAATCGTGGTAGGACAGGGGAATCTGAAGAATTATTATTATTATTACTATTATTATTATTTGAGATGGAGTCTCTCTGTCACCCAGACTGGAGTGCAGTGATGCGATCTGGGCTCACTGCAAGCTCCGCCTCCCGGATTCACGCCATTCTCCTGCCTCAGCCTCCCGAGTAGCTGGGACGACAGGTGCCCGCCACCATGCCCTACTAAGTTTTTGTATTTTTAGTAGAAACAGAGTGTAACCTTGTTAGCCAGGCTGGTCTCGATCTCCTGCCCTCATGATCTGCCTGCCTCGGCCTCCCAAAGTGTTGGGATGACAGGCGTGAGCCACCATGCTCTGCCCTGAAGAATTCTTTCTGATTGCAATCCATCGCAAATCTCTTGTGTTTGTTTGCAAACTTTCAACTGAAATACTGAGTGAATTGTTGCCTCTGCAATGACAAAATTTTGGTGCTGCCCCCTCCTCCTTTCTTTCCTGCTGTATAATGGCTGTCATTTTTCATTGATATGATTTAAGAGACTGGAAAAAGTAAACTATTCTTCAACTCATTCCTCTTAAAGTGATAGAAGAACCAATTTTTCCTGTGATCTGCTTTCAAATCACTCTCACCGGCTGTGAATCTCCTCCTGACACAAAGTTATAAGTTGAAAATTTCTCCCTCAGTTGGTTTATACTTAGCCACCCTTTTGAAATTAGGTTCCATTTACTTTATTGGTTCTAGGAAAATACAGGCTATTTTCAGACCCATTTTTGCTTCTTCCTGATTGGAATGGAAGGGGAGGAGGGGCAGGGACAGTTTCTCTAATTTGCTGGCGAACTGAAAAATACTCCAAAGACCCTTGTTCAGTCTTCCCGAGTAGATTTGCCTTTGCCAAAGGATACAAATACACTTATTTTAACTTTGCCAGCCATTGTGTCAATGTCTAATTTGGGACCATATTAACAAAAAAAAAGTTGACAAAATTTAAGTTATTGAGGGAAACAGATCCAGCCAAAGCTGGCATTGGCATTACTGACGGACATTGATAGTGATTGGATTAATTTTAAGTGATTGTATGAAAGGAGTTACTTATATTACCTAAGAAGGTGCCAAAGGGAAGAAAGCAAAGCAGGAAGAAGATAGAGTTCTGGAATTCAAGAAATCTCGGCTTGAGTTTTGATAATCATTAACCAGCTATGAGTATTTGGAACAATTTCTCAATGTCTTAATAGGTAAAATGAACTTACACCAGTGCTGTTTGAACTTTAATGTGCACTTGAATTTTCTGGGATGTGGTTAAAATGTAAACTCTAAAGTAGGTCTATGGGTGAAGTCTGAGATCCTGCACTTGTAACATCTTTCAGGTGATGCAGATGCTGCGAGTCAAGAGGACCACACTCTGAGTAGTGTCCCAATTGGATAATTCTTCTCATGCTACCTTCCAGATCTAGAAGTAGGTAGATAACTATATAAGTAAATAAATAACATTCTTAAACTATTCTGATGAGCTCTGTTAGGAAAGATACTGAAGTCCAAATTTTATAAATTAGCATGTGAATGTGGAACGGTACTAAGTGGATTCTTTACAATTTTACACCCACTGAAGGAAAAAATGTCAACCACAGAAGTAAGATCTGTTGGAGAAATGGGCCTTCTGATTATTTTTCCAAATTATTGTTCTTTGCTTATTGGATACCTCCTAATCCCACTTTAAAATTACCCAGAAAAAACCTGTAATGAAGGTTTCTCATTTTGTCTGTCAGCCAGAGAATTATTTAGGCTTTTTAAGTTTTTCTTAAATGTATGGTAAACAAACAATTGGTTGTGTTACTAATAATTTTTTAAATTGTCAACCTAGTAATTTGCTTTTAAACTGTTCGTATTGTAGTATAAATTACTAATTTTCATCCTAAGACTGAATCTACATTCCAGCTAGCGACACAGACTATTAATGTATATTTGCATGCAACTGATGAGAAACACTGCATTGAAATCCTAACCGGAATTAATGTAGACAAATCAAAAAGCCTTTGTAGTTTGTCTGATGTGTGTGGGTTGGTTTGTACACCCCAAGACACACTTATAACATTAATAAACATGATGGTTAGAATATGAGTCTGAATATAAATTTGGCTTTCT